GAGAGAGAGAGAGAGAAGAGAAGACAAGCGTATTAAATGAAGATGATATATTTCAAAAATAAGTAATTCTTTAATTTTAAAAGGTATTCTGTTTTTGCTTGATTTCGTAAAGTACTGTAATTGAAAGATTCAGTGCAACGGCTTAATCCAGTTTTGGGAGAATTCGCAAAATTAGTTTAAATTGAATTTTCTTGAGTTTAAGATTCATTAATTCAGACATTAATTTCTTCAAATTTTTAGAGCAACAGATTAAACTCTTTATAATTTAATTATATATTATTAATTCATTATTCGTGTATATTTTACAGCGTTTATTGTATCTTATATACATTCTCGTCTAGAAAAATAATTAAAAATTTCTAGTTTTTTCAATAATAAAACTCTAATTTTTTTATAATAAATATATCACATAGATGAAATGTAAATTTTGCCCAAGAGGAAAAGAGTATATCTTCTTCTCTGTACAATCAATCGGTATATATATTTAAATAAAAGAAATCTGTACATCAAGAAATTATAATACAGTTGAAAAATTATCAAAAGCATAAAGGCGTACCGTAAAACACGGAAACTCTCTACTTTAATAATTTTCTCCCTTGTTCTCTCAAGTACCTCAATTATTCGCTCTGGCAGTAATTTATAAAGTCTCGCTGGAATTTCTTTTTATTCTAATCTTCCCCATTCTACCTTGCACGTCTTTGATTCATTAATAGCTTGAAATTAGCTTTCCGCCAAAATATACAGTTTATGTTAACATTTCATAACAATTTGCAATTTGATATTTAAATCCGGAAAACATCATTTTATAATGAAACATTTTTTTCTAAACATATTGTTTTACAACTTTTTGTTACATGTATACTGTATCTGCTGGATAGTAAAATTTGTTCTAATAAATTTCTTTTCGGGTTTCTATTTTAAATAATGGCAATTAGGTGATTTTCCATGAGTTTGAAATTAATTTCTCGTTATATTTTATCTTGGTGAAAATTATTCGTTTATTATATCTATAAGACGTGCACGTTTATATTTTTAGTAGCAGTAATTATAGTTAATTCAAGGCGTATAATTGAATGAGTAATTGAAAGAGGAAAACGATTAACGAGTTTTCCGATAGATTTGAGTAAAGTTACAAATCAAATAAGTTTCTTGATATGGCGCTCCGGAAATGGCGCTTGTATGTAGAGCGAACATAGCAAGACATCACGGCGCCCGGCGTCTTAATAATAGCACGTCGTGGAAACGCGTCGTCATGGCGGCAACAACGACCAAGGTGGGCGGTGGATAGTGCAAAATAAAAAAAAGAAAGAGGAAAAGTAGCACGAAAGCGTGATTTATCTGCTCGTATATCTTTTTCCTCCTTTTCTCCTTTCCCTTTCTCTCCCTCTCTTTCTCTCCTCTCTTCTCCCGATTTCAAACAGATGACAGGATTGCCGCTGTCTGTGCAGGTGTACGAAGACTCGGTTACAGACATCAAGACAAGACGAGATAAGGCTTCTATCTTTGTTCGGATGCATTTATCCGTGGTTGAATTTGCAGTTAATGTAAACAAATTATTGGCATCATAAAATAAGTGGGAAAAAGGCAAATTGTTTGGCATCTCTGCTATATATACTCGTAAAAATATAATTTCAAAATATTTAGACACTTGGCTTTATTTTCTGATGATAATTATTTATTGCGATAACGATATAAAAATATTATTTCAATATTAAATTATTGTGTTTGTTAACATAACAAAAATATATGTGTGTATGTTTATATCAGATTATTTGACTTGCAAATAATGCAAATGTG